TAGATGAGTTTGTGTGGTGTATATAGAGGTGATTGTACAATAACTTAAAATGAAGTCTTACGGTTGTATATTGTTGGGGGGTAGGGTATAGGTTTGTGGTGGGCTAGGGGTGTGTGGGTATGGGAGCATGTGGGTGTGTGTGTGTGGATACATGCGGTGTGGGTGGGCATGGGGTTTGTGGGGAAATTGTGTGTGGGGGAGGGTGGCTGGCATGTGGGTGTGGGGTTCTGCATGTATGGCAGTGTGAGGGAGGGTGTGGGTGCATGTGTATGGTGGGGTGTGCATGTGAGAGTCACCCTGTGAACACACACACTCTGCCCCTACCTGCTCACACACGCATGTGCACACACACACACACACACATGCACACTCTGCCCCTGCATACACACACACACACACCCCACCCATATGGATGCAGGCCCTGTACTCTCAGGTCTGGCGATGCAGCTGGGAGCCACATGTTGCTGGAGCAGTGCGGGTGAAGAAAGCAGGGAAATGTCTTGTGGGGGGTGGGGAGGGAATGAACTGGGCTCCTGTCTCCTGCTGCCAGCTCCCTCTGGGTCCTACTGCCCCTGGCTCCTGTTGTCTTTGACAGGTAGCCAGGAGCAGATAAATGTTTTCTAAACTTTTTAGGTGTCCCATGGGCTGGATAGAATGGCCTGGCAGGCTGGATAAAGTCCGTGGGCCCTATTTTTCCTGCCCTGGCTTATATGCTTCCAGGACCCTGCCTGTATCCAGTTTAGCTAACTGCTTGCAGGTGTCGGCTAACTGCCTCATTTTGCCCTGTTGCCCTGGTAACTGCCAGCTGCTCCATCCTACCTGCCCTGCAGTGCTCCCTGGTAAGATAAAGATGCCTTTATCTTAAAGTAACAGAGCGCCCACAGCTCTCTGTTACAGGGTTAAGCAGAGCAAGAGCATGGAACCCAGGGGAGCATGCCTCCCCAGAGAACCATGCTGTCAACACACTTGGCGCTAAGCAGTCCTTTTCTCCCTCCCTCCTCCCCTTCCAGGAATGTGGGAGGCTGGAGAGGGAAGTGACACTTCCCCCCCACCTCTCCCAAATTCTCTGGGCTAGGGGAGAGCCGCTTGGATGTAGGACAGAAATGTAGCCCTCTGAGGAGAAGGGCACATGCCTGATCTCCAGCCCAAGGGCCCAAATTGGGTCTCCTAGAGTCCTCAGAGTGGGCAGCATGCTGCCAGGTGCATTGGGTGAAGAGGGCTGAGATTCTCTTAATTTAATAAACCAATCTATAAGAATCCCAGCCAGAGAATGGTGGACTTTGGAGCTATAAAGCCTAGTATTAGTCTACAGCCTGACTTTGCTAAGCACTTGAAATTGTATACACACACACACACACACACACACACACACGAGACTTAAGTTAGATAACCAGAATATATTGTAATACAAATGGCAAAAATGAACACATGAATTTGACAGGTTAATGGGTTATTAACATATATCTATGGAGTCTATAGACACTACAATACAAGCAGTCTGACTAACCCAAACACATAGGGAGCAGAATGGCTGTGACCTGTGCTGCACCAGATGGCAGGCACTTGCTCACTAATCTCTGTCACAGTCTGTCAGTGAACTGAAGCTGCCTTTGCTTCCTCCTTCCCCCTTATGGAGTTTGCCTCAGCTTTAATCCCTTTAGGGAACTTGGCTCTCCACAACTGAGAGTAGGGTAATACTTTACCCTTCTTGTGATCCTGCAGGTTGGTCTTCTGGACTAAGATCCCAAAAGCTCCCTCCTCAGAGTCTTCATTGATCCAACAAACAACTAGGCAGACTCACACACCAACTTTCAATCACCTCATGCTAGCAGACGATCTCTCAGCATACCTCAGAAATGTGGACCTGCAGAAGCTCACCAAGTGAGCCCAACATGCACAAAAAACCCAGACCCACAGGTGCTCCTTCTTTCTCAGTGGTCCCACCATACCTGCCAATCACTCAAGTGTCCAATCAATTGGCCAGGAGCAGTGCCAATCATACATTGATCTTCCTTATACCCAATCAGTTATCAGATCACCTCAGAAGATGAGCAACTTACCATTGTTACCATTTGCGCCATTGCTTGAATCTTTTCTGAGCTTGCTTCACTCAGTGAAAGTAGGTCATGACATCACTGGAGTCAAGAGTTCACTGGGTCTAGAACTCTCCCTCCTGACTCCTAGTCAAAGGAAGCCTCAACCCTACACTCTCAAGCACAAATTTCAATGGAGAAGTCAAGGCCAGAAACTGGGCCAACATTGGGGTCATACCCATTGGTGGTGGGTGGGGGTGTTGACTTGGGGTCAGTACCATATCTTGGGCAGTGGAGCTTTGGAGAGTGGAAAGTTTGTCAGGAGTAGAGGGGCTAGGAACCATGAATCCTGGGATACTGGATGACTGCATATTAGTTGCTTTATCTCCATATTACAGACTAGCAATAACCTAGCTTGAGATATCACCGAGGTGTTCAACCTAACCCTCCTCTAAAATGGCATATTCTTTAGATGCTTAAATCGTACTTAGCACAGTTTAACCCTCTTTAATGCATGAACACTCCAGTTTTAAGTGTCTTGAGAACAGTTTAAAGGTAATGTGTAACACCACCCCTACAGATTCTGTGTGTGATCTTGGAAAAGATAATTAGGCTCAAATTTTCAAAACATTTCACAGACTAGCTTAGTTATCAAATTTAAGCACATGGGTCTCATTAGAATTATACCATGGATAAATCTGACTCCTGGATTCCGATTTTTAGAGGCATTGGGTGCCTTGAACACCAAATGTAGTGAAGTCCTATAGAACTGTAGTAGGGTTACCATATTTTCAGTTCCAAAAAAGAAGACACCTGTTACAGGGACACCTCACTCCCAACCCACATCCCCCTGGCCCTGCCAGTGCCCCTCACTCCCAACCTGCAGCCCTCCATCCCTGCTGCCGCCCCTCACTCCTGACCCACAGACCCCTGGCCCTGCTGGTGCACCTCACTCCCAACCTGCAGCTCTTTGGCACTGCCAGTGCCCCTCACTCCCAGCCCACAGCCCCCCACCTCCCCAGCGCCCCTTGCTTCCCCAGCCCTGCTGGAGGGGGCCTCCAGCTGGCCCTAATCTGACCAGGCTGGAGCACAGGGGCTGAGACCTTTAGCACCCCCCACCCCAGGCTGGGGCTTCTGCACTGTGCCAGGCAGCCTGGCTATGGCCCTCCCCCCTTTGCAGCATCTCCCAGATGCCCTGCCCCTGCGAGCATGGCCACTAACCCTTGGTACTGCCAGCCCAGCTGCACAGCTCCACACTGCTCCTGAAGGGCTCCTCCATCCCCTTTCCCCACTGGATGGACAGGCACCTCCCCCCTGCCCCTGTGCCCTGCCACAGCCCTCACGCCTAAACACATTGGCAGGCACCCACCCCGCTAGCCCAATGCTGGCAGGCACCTATCCACCACACACCCTGGCGTTCCACCCCCACTTCCCATAGACTTACCTGTACCCAGCTTCCAGGGCTGCTCCCACCACCCTGTGCGGCTTCATGCCGGCCACATATGTGTGCACATGTGTATATGCATGCAGACACATGTGATGCCTGTCTCTCCAGTTGCCCTTCCCCCGGCTCCCACCAGCGGAGTGGGCAAAATCCCAGACATTTCTTCAGATTAAAAAAAAAACCCGCCCAGATGGAAATCAGAGGATCCAAAAAGAGGATATGTCCAGGAAAACCCAGATGTATGGTAACCCTAACTGTAGATTGTCCACACCTCTGAAAATTAGGGTATTAAGCTGTGGCACACTTTTAGGCTGCTTGCAGATGTTAAAAAAAAAAAACCCAAACCCCCAAAAAGGTAGAAGTAGCAGTGAGTTACTTTGACCTGGCTCCATAAGCATCTATATAGCTTTTTGGCACCTTTATCTAATTGCTGATTCAATCAGCTATTAAATAAAAGTGCCAAAAAGCCCCACTAAAATGCCTGATCCATACTGATGTTGGGTGAGCCAGGTCTAACTAACCCACTGCCTCTTTTGGGCATGTGCTGGCTTCAGCACGGGAGCATGCCAAGTTTTAAAGTAAAGCACCACTTTTTTTGTCTGCAAACAACCATAGATTCCACAGTGATATTATAGAGCTGGCATTTAGAAGAACAAAATGTTTTTTGTACACTAAGCACATCTGATAATTGATCATTATAATGAAATAAATGGGGAACCTACTGATGCTTCTTATAGCTGAATTCTCCCTGACTTCTTTCTTTGCTTCTGTTTTACCATCTATAAAATGATGATAATAATACAGTAAAATCTCTGTTACATGAGTGGGGAAGGGAGGGTGCCAGTTATCCAAAAATTCCAGTTATCTGAGAGTTATACTCAAGGAAGATGGTCCCATACTTATAGTGCAAATTTTCAAAGAATGAGTGTACAATACATTACAGTATAACATACTGTGTAAAGAATAAAATAGCATACAGATAAAAATGCAATAAAAGTCAGTCACCCCAAACTCTAGGGCAGCCTGACCGCAGGCTGCTGCAACCGAGGGGAGGGGCACGCCCACACAGATACCCTGCATGGGTGCCATCAGAGTGGTGCAGCAGGCAGCAAAACAAGGCGGTGCCGTGTGCATCCCACCACTGAAATTCTGGCTAATTAAGTATTATGGTTAGTTAAATGCCAGATAACAGAGATTTTACTGTACTTAACTTACCCTTTTTGGCTCAGGTTCAATGCAAGGAACTCTTTAACCTTACACTTCATAATGGCTAGATTTCAGACATGCAGAGTGTTTCATTAAAAAAATTAAAATACTATGAAAGACTTCTCCCTCTGCATTTTTGTATGCATTTGACCTTTGACATTTTTGGTGAGAGATTTAAGATAATTTTATTAATACAGTAAACTCACAATTCAGGTTTCCCTCTAAATAGTCCATAAAAATGAATCATATTTTCCTGTAAAAGGAAGATACTGGGATACAATCATGGTACAACTTATCTAATTATAATGTATCTGTAGTTATAGAAGCTGAAAAAAAGAAGAAGGATAAAGCTACCAAGGATCTGGAAACATTCTGGAAATACTTGGAGCCAGTTCTTAACAGTGGGAAGAATGGATCAAATCTCTTCAACATTGCCAGACTTCATCACCTTGTTAAGGAAAACACCTATCCCCTAGTCTGGACAGACAGTGAGATGATGGTCAGTGGTCTCCTTTTTAATAGTGAACTGCATTTAGTACTAATTTGAGAATAATTGGAATTTGAGCTTAGTATGTCTGTAAAAATGAATGAGAATATTTGGCTTACAAAGCCAGAGCTGTCAAAGATATGCCCAATAGACTGGATCTGGCCCATGGAGCCCTATCATCAGGCTTATGGTGCTGCCTGCGGGTCTCAGACTGGACCTGCATGTGGTGGGCACGGCTGGATCTGCCAGGGTCAGGGCTACACGCTTCCTGCAGTGAGCAGGGCTGGTCCATGACACATGGTGAACTTGGCATGCATGGCATATCAGCCCCACATGAGTTGACTGGCTCCATGCCACTCATCCAGCCCATGGGGCCCAGTGGCTTTGACACCTTTGCTTTAAAGCAGTACATTTGACTTAGCATGGACAAACATACATTGGTAGCAGCTTCAAGCGGCAAGAGGGTGCTTCTTCTCTGGATGCCCAGCAGCTGTTATGCTGTAACTGTTGTATGCACCTGAACCTGTAGCCATACAAATGTAGGAAAACATCTCCAACTTTAACCTTGCTTCATTTATATCAAAATGGGGGTGATTTACCACATTTTCTTGAAACAACATGCACCTTTTCCCCAGAAAACAGCAGCTGGAAATTGGGTTGCACATTACAAGTGAGGTAACCGCAGTTCCTAACACTTAAGCTTCAACTGGGCAAAAGCAAAAGGAACTGCACATGATCCACAGGGAACAGAGCTAAGAGCAGACTCGGCTACACAATTGCTGCTACTCAGTTACTTACTACAAAGAAGTATTTTTTTTCTTGCATTCTGCCTTTCAAAAACAAGATTTGTCTTATTCTGGGTGTGTTGCATGTGAGAAAATAAGGTAGATCATTTGTATGTCTACATGCTCTTACAGATGTGACAGTTGCAATATAACTGCTTCATTAGCAAGAGCCCCCCCCCCTTCTTTTTTGAAGATGCTCCAACTAAATTTGTCCATCCTCTGTGAGTTTCTAAACTTCATTGGCCAGGGATGACCAGGATCCAGTTTGTGGGATGGATCTGACACATGAAGACATGCCATCCAGTCCATAGGGTTCCCCATGGGGCCAGAAATGTGGTTGGTGTCTCCCCCACCCCACAAAAAATAGGTCTGCTATCCCTGTAGAAACAGAATGCCTGTTGTTGCCAGCTGCCCTGAAATACCTCTTATCACCAGACAAACTTAAAAGTAAAAAGCCAAAAGCATTTTATTTTGTAAAGACAGGAAAACTCTTAGGTAACAGCATGTGAGTGATCTGATCTAATGGTTAGGCACATGAATAATGGGTGCATTCAAAGTTGGTTTCCCAGGAGCTGGGTGTACAAAGGGGTCTGATTGTAGAACTGGAACTGGGAGCCATAACCAAAGTCAAGATAGACCAGAGGTGAAAGCCAGAGCTGGAGACAAGGTAAGAAGGATCAAAAACCAGAAGTCAGAGCTGGATGTAGAACCAGAATTAAGAGCAGAAAACCAAGAGTTAGACCAGAACCAGAAGCCAGAGTCAGGAGTTAAAACCAGAGAACCAGCAAGAAAGCACACAGAGGGTCAGGAGCAAGAACTTTCATTTTTGCCCAAAAAAGGACACTACCAGCTGGGCCTGCCTTTTTAAGAGTTGGAGCAGGTGGAGTTTGTTGCCTGTTCAGGGGATTGGCTGCCCTGATTGCCACATTCAGCCTAGCTGGGACCAGGGTGCTGTTCTGGGTTTGCTGCAGGTAGCACCTGTTCAAGGAACGAATTGACCTGCCTCCCACAGCTTCCCATTGTTCTCTGTTACAAGTAGCTCTCTGTCCACTACTTTCTTGAGTGATTCTCTGGTCTCCTTGTTCCCCTAGATTCAAGATGTCCTCCCTGTTCTCTCCCCACAGTGGCTTCTCCTTAAATTACTAGTTCTCTATCTCCCTTATCAATTCTCTATCAGTTCTCTGGAACCAGGACCCCTTTGACTCAGGCACTGCTGGATATACATTCTATTCCATGTAAATATCCCTTATCTCTGTTAATGATCTCAGAGTTTCATTTCCTATCTATCTGGTAGGTATGCTAATAGGCCCCTTCAATATGTACTCAGCCATTTTCTAGTGAGAAGGGTTTTGTCACCAGAGCTGACTATAAGCAAACTGATAATTTGTCACGTAGGTCAGACTGCCAAAATACAAGACCAAATATTATATCAGTACTATGTTTCATACAAACATAAAAATGATAAAAATGAAGACCGCTTATTATTATTACCTGTTAGTAGACCAAAAGTGATAGCAGTTAGCGCAACTTGGGGAACATTTCTATATGTGAAAACAGCAATTAACCCTTTCATTTTTCACGCAAGTCCAATTATTGTGAACAATGTTATATGTCTGTATTCAGTATATTGTAGAATGTGATGTGATGGTGATCATAGGAATAAAGAGGGAAGATAAGAAATCCTTGGTGTTTTCACACTAACCTTTAAAAATAATTTGAATAAATGAGAAGAAAATCCCTTGCTACATTTTGAAACAATTCAAAGTCTTTTGCTTTGAGAGTTGCTACTCTCAAATTGAGTTCCACTCTGCTTTGTATACAAACTTGATCCTTCATATGCTTCTTTATTCTCATAGCTTGAGTTTGGAACTGCACTTTTTGAAAGCATTGCATGTTTAATGTACGACTGCCTGGATTGGAGAAGACAACATAAACATTACCTGGATAATGCCAAATTTATTAATGTTCCTGTAGTAGTAAAGAGCAGATTGGCACAATCACTGATGACAGAGGTAGGAACACTTTGTAGTAGGTTGGTATTATCCTAAATAGTACTTTAAGTAGAACTGTGTTTTAAGTTCTGTACTCCAAAGAATTAAACACAGGCCACTTTCCACCTGTGTGTAAAAGAATCAGACCCTTTGTTTTAAATGTTAAATCTTCAAATAGGAAAAAACAGAAGGAAACAAAATCTTGAAAAAAAATCACACAGATGTAAAGTTAATCTCAAATAGTAATGAATGTAACTCTAACTGGCATAAAAAGCTACATTAAGCAGGCTCAGAAGTATGGCCAGACATCTATATCCACACAGAAGCCAACAAGCTTTTTACAGTTACACCAGTCTATGCGGACCCAAGATGCTGAGGGAATAGGGTCTTGCTTTCAGTAAGCTGTTTCCTAAATGCACACTACTCAGTGGCTTAATGTCTAGTTTGAGGGTGAATCACATGGGATCTCCTAAGGGTCTGTCCTGGGGAAATTGTTTAATATCTTCTTTAATGGTTTGGAAAATGGAACTGAGCTCACACTCGGCAAATATACAGATCTCACCAGCTGGAATTGCAGACTATGAAGAATAGAATTAGGGTTCAAAGTGACCTTGATAAACTGGAGAAATGTTCTAAAATTAATTGACTGACATTCAGTAAAGACCAGATTAAAAGAGTTAAGATAAGTTTATGGATGGGACAGTATTATAGAAAAGGGAGTTCTGGCTCTTCAGTTAGAGGGTGTGATGTGTGAAGCTGGTTGCTGTCTCCAGATTGCAGAGAGCTTGGAAAGTATTTCAGCTTTTCCCATGCTTCTAGGCTTTGCTGGTTGCCACATGGGGCCAGGAAGAATTTTTTCTCCTACTGTTGTTACAGGAATCAGGGTTTTTTTCCCCCCTACCTTCCTCAGAAGCATTGGATGTTGGTTACAGCCAAGGCTGAGGATTTTGACTGGGATATGCCAAAGCCCCTGGTGCAACTTAAACCCGGAGGTTCCAGGTTAGAAGATCTCTGTGCAAGGTCAGACTGATACTGTATTTGGGATCAGGAAGGAATTTTACTCCACTGTCAGACTGGTGCAGACTGTAAAGGTTTTGGCTTCCCCCTTGCTTGTGTCTCTCAAGTGTATTTTAACAACGTATCAAGTGTATAGAAACAACATATCAAGCTGTGTCTGAAGTGATCTGTGCCTTTTGTGAGCCATCTCTCTCTTGGACCAGCAGTGTCTAAAAGGCTCTGGCTTACTACCTAGTCTCCTGGTAGCTAGTTTCTCTTCATGTAAGTTGTATCCAATCATTTCCTACTTACCCTTGCCTACAATCCCTATTGTTATCCTTATTCATTCCTTTCAACTTATTCTTCCCCCCCAAAATCCTCTTATTTGTTCTTGTTAGTATGTCATGATTCTTTCCTCCCACAAAAAGAAATCTGTATTTTCCCTGACAGTGTGTCATCACTGTGCAGGAAAGCACAACATATATTACACACACACACACACACACACACACACACACACATTTTGCAGCACACCAAACATTATGAAGCATGCTGAAAAGGCAGGTGCCAGGCCTTCTGGCAGGGGAGAGAGAGAGGGCAGAAGGATAGCTTCAAGTTCCCCCCACCCCAAACATAGACACACCCTTTCCTGGCAGTGAAGAGTCTTTTTGCTGCTAGTGCGAGCAAGGATGTTGTAGCAGTGCCTGCACCTGCACCACCACCACTAACCAGCAGCAGCATGACATTCTTCACCCCAATTTCAGTTCCCAGCCTGAGCCTTCCAGTGCCAAAGGAGGAGCTCGATCTGGAAGCAGAGGAGCTGAGGGCCACAGCGAAGGAAATTCTGGGGAAGGAGGGAGAATCTGAGTTTGTGCTCCATGCCTGTCAAAGTTCCCCTAGAGGCAGGTCTCCTTCTCTGGAAGGCACTTTGGAGGAGGTTGTGGGAGCAGATGGCTCAGCTCCTCCTGTTGCTGTGCCTCTGCCTGGTTAGGAGGTGGATAAGACAGGATTCCCATCCTCAGCCCAGAAGCAGGTGGGTAGGGTAGTGTGGGATCATTCTGAGGTGGCATATGATCCCAGGTATGCTACCTGCCAGCACTGCCAAAGGCAGATCAGCCAGAGAAAGGACGTGAAACACTTTGCCACCATGGTGATGCTGCTGCATCTCAGGAGGTAGCACCCCACTGCTGCATCTCAGGAGGTAACACCCCCCTGCTGCATCTCAGGAGGTAGCACCCCCCTGCCCTTGTTCCTCCTTAGCCTGGCACCACATGCCCAAAAATAAGTCCCCCTCTCAATCCAAAGCCCCGATCCCCAAGAAGGAAAGGCAGGCCACCCTGGACCAGTGGAGGGAAGGCAGAGAAAAAGTGGGGTGCATTCCAAAGGTGAGCAAGGTCACCCAGAGCATTGGGGAGATGCTTGCTCTAGATGGCCAGCCCTTATCCTTTGTTGAGTGTCCAGGCTTCAGGTGGCTCATGGCTCCAGTGTACCAAGTGCTCACACACACCATCTTTATCAGGACAGTAGTGCCCTCCCTGTATGAGGCATGCAGGGAGTACTTGAGGGGAGGAGCTGTGGAAGGCAGGTCCACAGGTAGCCTTGCACTTCACCTCTGGAGCAGCTGGGGTGGAGATCCTGTCTACCTGTCCCTCACAGGGCACTGATTCAATCAGTCAGGGCATCAGTGGGCTCTCCTTCAAGCAGAGGTGATGGATGGGTCCCATGCGGCAAGGGAGATCATGGTGGCTATGAACCGCATGGTGCAGGGGTGGCTTGTTGGGCAGGGCAAGCTCACCTGTGGGCTCATTGTCACCGACAACGGGGCCAATATGGTCAAGGTGGTGCGTGATGCCAACTTTGTTGGCATCCGCTGTGTGGCACACAAGTTCCACCTCATAGTCAGGGATACCTTGGAGGGGGGACAGGGCTCCCAGTAATGGTGGCATAACTACCAGCCAGCTTATTTTGAAATGCAGGTAGGTGGTGGCCTACTTCCATCGGAGCATCAAGGGGGGCAAGATGCTCTGGGACAAACAGGCACAGCTGAACATCCCGCAGCACACAATCATGCAGGATGTGGAGACTTGGTGGAACTTCACATACCTGATGCTGGAAAGGCTGGTGGAGCAACAAAAGGCCATCCATGAGATGGCCTTGGTCAGAGAGATTGGGATCAGTGGCCCCCTTAACAAAATGGAGTGGGATACCATCTCCCAGATCTTGGTGGTCCTCAAGCCATTCCTCGAGGCCACCAAGAGCCTCAGCGCTGACAATGCCCTTCTTAACCAGGTGATCCCCATAGTGAAGGAGCTTAAGAATGAAATGGAGAAGTTTTAGGGGATCAGTGTTCCTGGCTGGGACAAGCCGCTTTCCCCAGAGGTGCAGACACTGGTGAAGCAGCTGAAGGAGGGCATCAAAAAACAGCTGAATCCATTGCAGTCCAGTACAGTCCACGTGCTGGTGGGCATGTGTGACCCAAAGCTGAAGGGGAGCATTTACAGCAACAAAACCCTCGATCACTGAACAGAGGTGCTGGTGAACAGTCAGGGAGGTAGAAGGTTAGAGGCGGGGGGATGTGGAAGAGGGGGATCCACTTTCCCATGCCAGCACTCCAACCACAACCCAACCTCCTCCACCACAGCTGCTGCCAATGTGGGCCAAGGGCATGGCTTCAGTGTTGGGATCCAGAGGCACCAGACCCCACCATCAACAGGTAGCGCGGAGGCCTTGGTGGCTACCTAAAGATGTGGAGCCGCTGCACTGCAACCCCTTGGCCTGTTGGGCAACCCACAGCCAGGTGCGGCAGGGTCCTGCCGGGGGTTCGCCTCCAAAACCTGCCCGGCAACACCTGTCCTGTCCACCAACCAGTGTTCCAAGCGAGAGGGTGTTCAGCATTGCTGAGGATGTTGTGACACCCCACTGCACCTGCTTGGATCCTGGTTTGGTGGAGCAGCTGATGTTCATGAAGTTGAACCTCCTGCTGCTGGGATAACATAAGCTCCACATGCAGACAGAGTGAATGCCACCCTCCTCACTCGGCACCTAGTCGCTTTTTTTATTTGCTTTCAGAACCTTGAGATGTACTTTCACAGAAACCCCTGCGCCACTCTGCCTGAAATCTGGCAGGCTTCATGCCCTCAGAAGGGGCTACCATCCCTGCTGTTTTCATCCAAATCTGCAAAAAAAATGACAAAGTTATAGGTATTTTAGTGATTCCCCATTATAGTATATGGCCAAATTTCTGAATCAGCGCTGAATCTCCAAATCTGAATCAAATCAGGACAGTGATCTGAATCACCAAATTAAATTACTGTCCCTCTAAATCAACTGAATCCAAATTGAATTCTTGCTGCCTTGCACAGGCCTACTGGTCACCATGCACCATGTTGACTCAGTTCCATTGACTCGCACTCTCTGGGTTCTACCACAGAGCCAGTTCCCCACCCATTGGACCATAAGGCTGTCTAGACTGCAGTTCCCCAATTTTGCCATGAGGACCTCATGAGAGACCAAGTCAAAGGCTTTTCTGAAATCCAAATATATGACATAAACCTCTTCTCCTTTGTCCAGGTGATGTGTCATTTGGTCATAGAATGAAATCAGGTTGGTTTGGCAAGACTTACCTGCAATGAAGCCATGTTGGCTCTCTCTCAGAATGTTGCCTTCCATTAGTTTGTTGTTGATGGTTTGTTTGATTATTTTTGTCCATGATCTTTCCAGGAATTGAGATCAAATTGATTGGCCTGTAGTTCCCTGGATCTTCCTTCTTTCCTTTCTTGAACATAGGCACCACATTGGCACTCTTCCAATCTTCTGGAACCTCTTCCAAGTGCCATGAGCTCTCAAATATCCTTACCATTGGTCATGCTATGATGTCAGCCAACTGTTTTAGCACTCTTGGGTGCATTGCATCTGGGCCAGCTGACTTGTGGATGTCCAGCCTCTCAAGGTGTTCCCTTACAAGATCTGCACCAATTATAGGCGTATGGTTGCCTTTACCCTGATAATCCTGTGTCCTGTCAGAC